GCAACATTTGTTTGTGGAGGAAACACAGCTGTTCCCGGGGAAATGGGTTTCCCTTCTTTGGGCAGAGGAGCGGGGGAGGGGACCATCAGGGGAGGGACGCTGGGGACATCGTGGGTGGGTGGCAGCTAGATTCTTTCCATCCGGTCAAGCCGGGTCAGCCCTTTAGCGACTGTAAAGGCCCCCATGGTAATGTGGCTCCCCACGCTGTCTGAAGGAGGGGACGTGAGCCCCATTTTTTCCAAAATGAAGGCAGAGGCCAAGAGAGGGGAAGCGACTCAGCCAGGGCTGCACAGCCCTGGACCTGGACCCTGAGCCCCAAGGCCATTGTTCATGCCCTCACCCTTCTCTGGCTCTGTCTGGCACATGTGTCCTTTGGTCTCAGTCTTGGAATCTCCGTATCTCAGTCTGTGTTTCTCTCTCTGCAACTCATTTTTGATATCCCTATCCCCTGTCTTCTCCCGCCCCATCCCTGGGCTTCTGTGGTTTCCACTTGATGGTGTCTGTCTGCACCTCTGCCCTTCTCAGGGTGCTCATGTCAATCTCTCAGGACGAGTGGCTTCATGGTTTTGGTTCTTCCTGGCCATCTCTGTGTCCTCATTTCTCTGACTTGCTCCCTGTATCCCTCTGTCCATGTCTGTCTTTTTTTGTGCCCAACTCACCTTGGTGCTGTCAGTAACATCTCAGTGTGACTCTGTGTGACTCTGCCTCCTTTGGGGACACTTGACTCCTTTTCTTTAATAAACACTTCTCTCTCTCTCTCTCTCTCTCTCTCTCTCTCTCTCTCTCTCTCTCTCTCATCTATTTGTATATTTTTTAAGATAGCATTTTTTAAGTTGTGTGTCATAAAATCAGTCAGTACTATGTGTGGCCCACAATTTTTAAAGAAAGAATAGAAAATATCAGAATGTGTATGGGATCACATGTACCATTGTTTCAGTTTTCTATATGAATGTGTGTACTGAGTTCTGGCATAAAACACTTTTACTATGATATTTGATTAAAAATGTTTAAAAACCACAGAGTGAAGATGCTTTGACTACCCATAGAAGATAAAGTCGAATTGCACTAGGCTTATGCAGGAGGAGTTTTCTATCACCACTTTGAGAGGTCCAGGGGCTGAGCTGGGTAATCAGCTGCTGGACAGTGTCATCCACTGAGGAGCTGGCTTCTTTCCTTCGGTCCTTTTTTACCCTCTGCTCCTCGGCAAGCCAGCCCATTCCCCTCATAGTCACAAGGGAACTCCTAGGGCTCCATCCAGGAGAAAACCAGGCACTGTCTACTCCCCTGGTGGGTTCTTAGAAGCCAAAATACCCATCTCACATCTTATTGGCCAGGACAGGATCACATGCCCCTCTCTTAACCAACTGCTGGTAAGAGAGACTGCTACCCTCTATTGCTTAGGCTAATCAGGGGCTCTCCCTCCGTGGATGCACAGAGGAAGGGGCATACCAGAGGCCACTGGGGCTTCCCTCACCAGGAAGAAGAGAGAGAAGCCCGGCTGGGTTGCTACCAGCATCTGTCACAACCTCTCTCTGTCCCCCTGCCTGGATACCTGCCTCAGCTCCCTTTTAGTCCCTCTTTATGTCTGTCCTGAGAGGAGGCCATGGTGAACGTGGTGCGCAGTTAGGGCTTCAGTGTTGGTTCCCTGTGAAGACTGTAATAAGTTACCACAATCTTGTCACTGGACTTGGGGTCCATCTGGATAATCCAGGATGATTGCAGCTCAAGATCCTTAACTGAATTACATATGCAAAGACTCTTTTTCCAACTAAGTCATATTTATGGACATCTTTTTGGGAATCACCTTTCACCCATCACAGGGCCTCTGTCAGCCGTAGCCCCTTGGCTCTTTCAGGGCAGAGTCTCAGCCTGTTTTTTCACTCGATGCCGCAAGGCCTTGACCTCTGAGCCTCAGCATCCTCATCTGCCAAATAGAGACCTGAAGGAGCCACAGATGCAAAAAGACCTGGAAAATATCTAAAGGCAACCTATTTTTCCAGGGCTCATGTCCTTTAAGAGGAAAAGCAGACTGGTTTCCTGCATCCATTTCCCAGAAACGTGAGGCCTTTTTAAAATCAGCAGAAGCAGTGGGGTCTGGTGGGCTATTAGAAAAACACGTGGTGTCTCTCACAAGGGTCACAGTCCCCTGACAGCCTCCTCCTCACAATTCCTCTCCTGAGTCACGGTGGGGTGTCTAGAGGGTTCTCTAAGGAGGTTGCTCCTGTCCTGGGCACCTGGCCCAGCCACAACCACTGCTGCGGAGACCGATGGCCACTGACCCATGACTCAATGTAGTGCCTTACAGCTCCCAAAGGGCCTCTCACCTCAACTTTGGAAGGTCCTCTTGGTGCAGGTGAAGCACCTTCGTTCCTTCATTCAATACTATTCACTGAGCACCTATAGGTGCCTGTTGGGCCCTGTTCCAGGCCCTAGAGATTCATCAGTAGAAAAAAAAAATCAAACATCCCTGGCCACACGGAGCTGACCCACAGCAGGGAGAAACTAAGTGACTCAATGTTTGGGAGTAAAACGATCATCCCAGGCACAGGCCTAGACCCAGGTCCTGGGGAGTCACCAGGGGATGGAGTCCGAGGTCTCCTAGGAAGCCTTGCAGAGTGATGGGAAAGGAGTGAGAATATTTGGATGGTGCTTAATAATTAGTTTGGCTGGCCCTTATCCCTCGTTCCTGGGAGGTAATTTCTAAGCCCTTCGTCATTCCCAAGTGACAGGGGTGTCATTATTATTCATGGACCCTCAGACCATACCTGATAACGAGGTCACTGTGGTGGGCCCTCCCAGGTTTTTGCTAATGAGACAATTCAGGGAAAGCACTGGCTTCCCCAGAAAAACCAGTCATGTGATTAGCAGGTGGGGGTGTGGTGGGGGCTAGTTTTAGTCAGCTTTCGCATTGCCATGACTAAAACCCCCAGTAAGAACAACTTAGAGGAGGAAAGTTTATTTGGGGCTCATGGTTTCAGAGGTCTATAGACTCCCTACTTGCCCCAAGGTGCAGCAGCACATCATAGGGGAAGGGTCCAGGGGACAAAAGCTATTCAGCCCGTGGTAGGGTCAGGAAGAGAGAGAAGGAAGGGTCTGCAAGGAAGACGCATCCTTAGGGCATGTCCCCAGTGACCCACCTCCTCCAGTCACACCCCACTCACCATCCATTCAAACTAGAAGGGACTGATGAGGTTGCAGCTCTCGTAATCTAATCATTCCGTCTTTTAATATTCCTGCCTTAACCAGAGCTTTTGGGGGGACACTTCCATATCCAAACCATAACAGGCTTTGAGTCATGCACTATTAGCCTAAACTCGGGAGTGGGGAGAGGGGCTGGAGGCTGAATTCGACCACATGGCCAGTGCTTCAGTCATACCTACCTCTGGACACCAAAGCTCGGGCGAGCTGCCCTGATTGGCAAGACTCTGAGTTTGTGATGCTTCAGTGCTGAGAGGGCGATGAGTCCCTGAGGACTACGGAAGCTCTGTGCTTGGAACCCTCCCAGACCTTACCCCAGGAGTCTCTCCCTTTGGCCGGTTCTGATTTGTAACCATTTTGCCATAATAAATTTTCAGGGGTCAAAAAAGGCAGGTACTGTGTGATCCCACTTACACCCGGTACCTGGTCAAATTCATAGAGACAGAGGATAGCATGGCGGTTGCCAGGAACTGGGGGAGGGGAGAAGGGACACTGTTTAGCGGGTACAGCCTTTCAGCTTAGAAGGTGAAGAGTTCTGGAGATTGACTTGATGTGAATCTACTTAACTAAACACATAAAAACAGCTAACATGGTAAATTTCATACTATGTGTATTTCGCCACAACTTAAAAAAAAAAAAAACTATAATCATTATTAATACAGTGCTTTCCTGAGCTCTGTGAATCTTTCCAGCAAATTACCAAACCAGAGGGTGGTTGATCAAAGGGACTCCAGAACTTGTGGCTGGTGGGGAGGGGGCACTGGGAACCTTTGAACTTGCCACGATGTCTGGAGGAAGGGCAGCTGGTAGAGGACCATGCCTTAACCTGTGAAGTCCAGCCCAACTCCAGGGGGAGGAAGAGAGTGAGAGGTGGCTTTTGGTCAGAATGACCTTGGGAATCCCATCTAGCTCTGATTATCTGCGATGCCTCCATGAATACTCCCAGCCCTGGATGGAGAACCCTCCTCAGTCTCTGTTCCACACATTCAGTGAAGAGCTCCCTTTGGTTCCCTTTTCAGAATGTGTGTGAATGTGTGTGCGTGTGCACGCATGTGCACTCTTCCTGTCAGAACCATGAGTTCCTCTAGGTCTGGAACCAGACTTCCTGCTGTTCTGTTGCTCCCACCGACAATGGGTTTCTTAGCAGAAGGCTGAACCGCTTTCCGTCTTCCCAGCTTGCAGGGGCTGCCCCTTTGCTGGGTATTCACCAGTGAGTTAGCTTCTGTGAGGCCAGTGGCCGGAGCAGACCCTCCAGGAGGATTACCCCTGCCCTGGGGATGGGGACAGTTTAATTAGAACACCTTCACTCAGAAACGCTCATCCATTTGTGGGGAAAACAGCGACAGGCTTTTAAGGACATGCCATAAGTTTTACAGTTATTGGATTTTTCAACTTGTTTACAAAAGCAATATTGTGAAATGGCCAACGGCCAGGCCCAGTTGTTTTTCCTCCTGTGCCTTCTGACAACAGGAAAGCATATTATCTCCCCCAGCCAGCTCCCGGGAGGTGTGTGGAGCGCATTCCATTTTGCTATCTGTTTAATTATCCATTCAGCAGGGCTTACAGAGCTGAAGCTCTTCCTCGGGTGTTCACAGCCAGATCTGCTCTGGAATGCAGCAAAGAGCTCCCTCCACATATCTGGACCCCCTGCAGCAGCTCCTAGGAACAGCCTCACTCCAAGAAAATGCCAACCCCTGAAGAACCTGTCCCTTTGGAACAATGGATCACCAGTGACCTTGAACGTGAGTGACCTTGAACTTGACTGAACACCTCTGTGTCACAGCTTATATATATATATATATATAGCTTCTCGGCCTTTTGGCTAAGATCAAGTGTAGTGTATCTCTCTCTCTCTCTCTCTCTCTCTATATATATATATTTTTTTTTTAATTACTTTTGAAGAGTTGTTTCCAAACCAGGCTGCATGACACCAGAAGCCCCTGAGGCAAGTTTTAAAAATAAACCTTGCCAGGCCTTCCTGGTCAGGTTCTGAGTTCTTTAGCCTGAGCCTTTGAAAACTCTCCAGGTCTGGAGCCCTTTGGACTTGATTCTATCTGCCTGATTTTGGCCCCCTCCCCAGGTTCTGTGAGGCTCCCTTGGTGGAGGGTAGAGGCAGATCAGGCCTCCCTCCACTTCTCAGGCCAGCACCAGGCCTGCGCTCCACACCTGCTCAGCTGGCTGAGCTTCAACAAGCTCGCACCTGGTGGAAAGTCATCTCCGGAAAAGGTGCAGGTGCGTGAGGCCCCAGAATCATCACGTAGCTATAAATAACTCGGGCCATGCACATGATGCGAAAGGTCTTGTGAATGACCTTCTCAGAGAACACCTGCACCCCCCAGCTTTCACTGGGAAAATCCCTGCCAGTGAAATGTGGAGTTGACAGCTAGCTGCTGCTGGCTTAGCTGAGGACGCAGGGAGGAGGGACGGGGCAAGAGCTGAAGGTGGGAGATGTCTCTGCCAGGAGCCCTTGTTTGTCCCCAGAGAACAAGGCCACAAGGGAGGGTCCAGGAGTTCCTGCATTCAAACTTCTTCACCCAGCCCTCGATAGTTGTTGAAGATGGTAACAGTAAGAATCACAGGCAGGCTGCGTTAGCTCTCCATCACCAGACGGATACCTGGGATAAACTAAAAGAAGAAAGGGTTATCTTGCTCACGGCTTCAGAGGTTTCAGTCTAGGTTGCTCGGCCCCCTTGCCTTTGGGCCTATGGTAAGGCGGCATCTCATGGCAGAGCACGTGGCAGAAGGAGTTGCTCACTTCATGGCCGACAGGAAGCAAAAGAGAAAGACAGACAGGAAGCCGCTGGGGTCCCCATATCTCCTTCAAGAGCATTCCCCCAGTGACCCACGAGGCGCCCCCTCCCAACAGCATCACAGCTGGAGACCTAGGCTTTAATACCTGGGCCTTTGGGAGACATTCGAGATCTGACCTATAACAGTCTTCACCTCTCTTTAGCACTTTACAGCCTATACATCCATTATCGCGCACCTCTGGGATGTAGGCAGGGTAGCTGGCCAAGCAGGCCACTGCGTTAGCTGAGGGAGGTGACCCAACACAGGAGTGAGTGACTTGGAAGAGGTCACGGTGGACAAGCATTTGCCCCCATCCTTCTAGTTGCAAGTCAGCAACCCCGAGGGCCTCTGGCGTTGGTATAAAACACCTACCTGTTCTGGCGGCTTTCTTCTTTCTCCAAGTGCTTCCGTCCATTTGACTATGAGTAGCCAAGGTCAGCAGGGTAGATTTTAGATGCTCAGTAGATAACACAAAACTGAGACTCCAAGAGGTTAAGGTGGCCACACAGCTGGAGCCCTTGTGAATGGGATGCAAAACTGGATTGGGATTCACAGGTTAGAAAAAACACAAGGTTTAAAATGAGACGGTGACTCTTACAAGCTGTGAGCTGGGAAGGTACTTATGTTTTAACTTTCATCATCTATATTAAGGAATAATGTTTTAAAAGGTAAATAATCTGCTTTAACATCAATATAAAAAGAACAAGTTTGGAAAAGCTCATTAATTAATGAGAAAACCAGGAAGGTGTTAAAAACTGGTTCAATGGAAGAATGCAAAGCTCACACACACACACACACACACACACACACAAGGCAACTTGAAATGAGTGTGTACAGTGGCAAAACCCAGCAGTATCCTCCGAGCAATAATGAGCTGTGTTCCTGCAGGCTACGGTCATTTCATCTCCTTAGACGAGAATCATCTGCACCCTTGTCAATTCTCAGTAAGGTCTAGAGCTGACAAATAACTCAAAGACAGTGAAAGTGCAGACTCCTCGGGGAGATGCACTATTGAAGACACCAGTCTGTCTCTCTTGGTTCATTCCAAAGAAAGTCACATTTTTTCCTACCATTGTAAGAGGGGGAGGGTCCAAAGGACGGTTTCAAGGACCAAGTGAGATGGCGTGTTTATTGCCTGGCGAGAAGACAGCCAGCTTTCCTTCCCTGCCTTTCCTTGCTTCTCCACCAAGGTCAACACACTTCCATCCTGGATGGTTTCCAATTGCCCACACCCAGGAGCTTTATGGAGTCTGATACAGAGGAAAGAATTTGATTTGGTGTCACCCCGGCCCTGGATCTAGTCTTAGATCTGCCGCAGCCTCAGGCAAGTCATTTCTTTGCTCTGGGCTCAGTTTACTGGCAGTTAAAATGAACCACATGACCTCTAATAAATCTTGGCTCTACGTTGACTTATGCAACCCAAATTGTAGATTTTCTGAAATGATTTCATGACACAGTTCAACAGACATGGGCTTAGGAGCCAGAGAGAGGGATGTTCAAATCCCAGCCCAGTATCTTACCATGCCTGTGTTCCCCCAACCCATGTCTCGGTTAGGGACATGAGTTGGGGAAACACCTTAAGAGGAACACCTTAATTTGGGCAAATTGCTTAACACCTCTGAGCCTACACTGCTTATCTGTCAGATGAGCTATTACTTTTCTTTTAAAGTAAAGGTGCAAAAAAAATTAAAAAATAAAAAAATAAAAAAATAAAATAAAGTAAAGGTGCTAGGGATTGAAACCAGGGAGCACTTTACCACTGAACTACATCTCCAGTCCTTTATTTATTTTTTAAATTTGAGACAGAGTCTCTGCTAAGTTGCTGAGTTGCTGAGGCTGGCCTCGAACTTGCAATCCTCCTGCCCCAGCTTCCTGAGTCACTGGTATTACAGATGTACAACATCTCACCAGAACAACTTATTACCCATCGAGATGACCCAAAGGCTACCCTGAGATAAAGTTGGGTACTATAAGCTATGTGCCTAGCACACAGTTAATGCTCAATGAGTGTCAGTGTCCATTCTCCACTTCCCTGTGCCCAATGGGCCTCCTTGACTTCCTGTCGGGCTGCTTGCTGCTCAGGGCCAGCCATCAGTGGGTGAGCCAGCCTCTCTGTGCTCTCCTCTAGCATCAGGAGAGCAGTTGCCCTCCACTCCTTCACTCAGGTAGTTTGGGTCTAGCCATGGAGCTGAGGACATGGTTAGGGACAGGGTTGGGGGGACACCTTAAGGGGAGGATGTGCACAAGGCAGAGCTTGCTCTCAAGGTAGTCTGGGCCAGGCTTCCAGGAGGAGGTGATTTTGAAGTGGGCATTGCAAGATCCCACCCCAGGAGGGTCTTGGCAGGTACAGGGGACCACAAGATGAAGACCCAGAGGCCAGAAAGCTAGCAGTGTGTTGGGAAAACTGCTTGTTTGTCAGTGTGGCAAGGCCCAGGGTTCCCGGAGGGGAATGCTAGAAGATGTGTCCAGAAAGGGACGTGTGAGGTTCTGATTAAAAAAAAGTTTAGACCTCAGCCTTCAGACAATGGGCTACCAGGGGAGTGGCCTGTGGGACATTTGTCTCCTTGCAGCAGGCAGTCATCTTCCCCAGCTGGTACCCTCCAGCTGATCTAGCATGGCCTCCCTAAAAAACCGCAGCAGATCTCTGGTTTCCTGGAACAGTGCTTCTCCGCACCAGGACCCATCCGGGCTCTTGGTAACAGGCAGATTCCAATCAGTGAGTCCTAGCGTTGGGCCTGGGGCTCTGCATTTCTCTCCAGCTCCAAGGAGATGCCAGTGCTACTGGTCCACAGGCCACATTTTGAGTAAGGACAATGGGTACCCTCGGGATCAGCAAGAGACAGGGCTGTGCAGAGGGTGAGAATTAGATGGATTCCTTTCTCCCTTTTCCACCTAGTCTCCAGGCCTCAACCCTGCGAGGCCAGACTTCCTGCAGGTCAGCTGCTTGGGACTCAGAGCCACGGTCCTCCCCAGCTGGGCTTCTCCCGCCTAGCACTGCAGATGCAGCAGGCCTGGTTCTCCTCCACTCGCACCAGAGCTTACAGGCCTCATTCCCTCCAACCTGTATGCATGGAAAGGGGGAGACCACTTTACTTAAACCCTCCAGGGACGCTCATGAAGCAGGTGTCCATTCAGCCACGCCTGGAAGGCTGCCAGCCAATGACAGATGTCATCCCGTAGGACCCACCAGGCCAGGGTGTTAATGGCGGATAAGAGCCTATCGCCCATGACTCCCTGAGCACATTCTTGAATTCTAACTGGGGCTTCAATCCTGTTAAGTTAAAGGAGTTGCCTTCTGTTGGGTGTGGGGCATCAGGAAGGCTGCAGGTATTCCTTGCCTTAGAGGGTGCAGGCACCTGTCGACTCGGCTTGGAGGACCCTCCTCCAGGCCAGGCTAGGTAAGTGCTATGGTTTCAATGTGTCCCCCAAAGTCCATGTGTTGGGAATCCCAAGTGCACCGTGGTGACCGGTGGGACCTTGAATGATTAGGTTGAGAGGGCTCTGCCCTAGGGCACAGGTTAATGTCCTTATCACAGGAGTGTGTTCCTGATAAAAGGATGAGTTTGGTGCCCTTCTCTCCCTCCTTCCCTCCCACTTTCCACCATGGGCTGACACAATAGGAAGGTCCTCATCACGTGCCGCTACCGTGATGGCCTTAAACGTGAGTATTTAATTTCTTTCCTTTATAAGTTACTCAGCTCCCATAGTCCATTGTAGCAGCACAAAATGGACTAAGATGGAGCCCCTCTTCTCAGTTTCCAGAGCACCCCATACTCTCCTGACATCATGGCCCTGAACCCCCCCCCTCACCTGCTGCATGTTCACCTGGTCCGTGAGCAGCACCGCGCATGCGCAGTGTCTAATGCACAGAAGGTGCCTCCGCCATGCTTCAGAAAGAATTGGCAGGCCACACCCAGAGCCCACGCCTGTGTAGAGCACACTGGTTCTCTGTGGGGGGCGATTTTGCCCCCATGAACACTTGGCAATGTTTGGAGACACTTTTGGTTGTCACGTCTTGGGGGTAGGGGACTTGAAGGTCACGAACTGTGCAAAAATATCCTCCAGCTTACAGGACAGCCCCACAGTCAGGGAAGACGAATCCCCAAATGTCGACAGTATCAAGGGTGAGAAATCTCCTGGGGGATGGAATCCGCCTTCCCAGGCACTCCCTCACAGCCTCCCCGCCTGCTGCTGTCACTTCCCAAAT